TTAACTAATTTTACGGTATTCAACCAAAAGCGAAAGTGATGAAACTAAAGGCAACAATGAAACTTCATCTCGAGTTATTATAGACAGATACAGTGGGCCGTATGAATAAAAACTAAGCAATTGCTTTTTCTTAAAATTTCATACCTTTTACTTCAATTTTGTTTGAATAAATTGAGTAAAAGATCTGAAATTTTAAGAAAAAGCAATTGCTTATTTTTATTCATACGGCCCAATGACTCAAAAAAGAGCCTGGTGATTGTTAATATTCTGGTAATATTCACAATGTTTTTCAAAAAAAAGTACCTATTTGTTATTTTTTTTGTATAAGAATATTTTTTTCCGCTTTAGCCAAATCCATATAAAAATCAAGGATTCAATCTATGTATATACAACATCTAGAAAAATTCAAAAAAATTTGGTCTAAATTTCGAATTCCCCACTCTTAATTTGTAGAACAATTTAAGGTATGGAGTTTTATAGTCAAGCGCACTTGTGCACAAGGGTATATTAACTTTGTTCGCATAACGGTCGTTTGTAACAGCCAAAACGAAGCGAGATAGATATGGACAAATGCATACATAAATGATCAGAATGAAAAGAGAAGTCGATTAAGCCATGTCTGTCTGTCCGTCCGTCCATCCGTCTGTACGTGTACACGATAACTCGAGCAAAAATTGAGATATCTCAACGAAATTTTGTTAATCTCTCAAATCTCATTTTTGCCACAACAGCGATTTAGGCGGTTTTGCAAAAACATCGACGATATGTGTAACATATACATAGGTAACCTCAAAATTTCAATTGACCCAAGAAAAATAAAGACATCCTCGTAATCAGGACGCCAAAATACACCATATCGATGGCTGAGTGGAAGATCGACCTATCTCGGCAGCCAGTTCGAAAGCACTCTATCTCAAAAAACTTTTCAAGAACGCCCTATTTCAGAATTTAATTGAAAAACACCCTATCTCAAAATTCGGTTCAAAAACGCCCTATCTCACTTCAAAATGTATTGAAAATATACTGATATAGGGCGTNTCTGAAATAGGGCGTTCTTGAAAAGTTTTTTGAGATAGAGCGTTTTCGAACTGGCTGCCGAGATAGGTCGATCTTCCACTCAGCCATCGATATACACTTTTCAAGCCTTTTGGATTTCTTTCTGTTGTATCGCGTTATTTTCGGTCCCAGCTAAAAGCACCTCACTATTGATGAAAATAAAACAAAAGTTAAAATATAGTTTATTAAGCAGTTTTTATTAAAGTTGTAATTATGTGTGTATGTGTATATGTAGGGTATGTATGCAATTAGGTTTACAAGTATATATTAGAACTATGCTTCTCTCTAACATTGTTTTATCGAAATATTACTACTAAATATATGTTCGTAAGTATGTTTGTAAGAATATTTATTGGAATCGAAGGAACATTCTTATTTTGATAATTGCCATTAATAATCGTTTTTAGTTGTTTTTTGATTACATTTTGCAAATCTTGTGATTACACAGATGCATAAAATTGTGAATAAATAATACGGCAGTTGCGGGAATTTGCTGAAATCATTTATTCAAAATATTGAATGTGCGAATAGTTCAACGCGTTTAATGCTCTGAAGTAATAAAACCCAGGTAATGTATTGCTTTAAAGCACTAAACACTTATGCATGAAGTAACATTTTGATTTAAATTTCAGTTGTATACTTTTTTGGAGAAAACGCGCAAAAAATTAAGTAAATTCACATTCTTTTGCTTCATAAGAATCGAAGTACTTAATACTTTGCGTTGCCTATAAACGATGAATAAGAATTCTTAAGATCTTAAGTGCACTCAAGCGCATCGCTCTAATTCGAATTTCATAGAAATATTTTAGAAAGATGCGTTGAAGTTATAAATCAATGTTTTTTTTTATCGACTGTTTACATTATTACACTTAAAGCTTACATTACATAACTCGAACTAAAACATGTTAGAGCAAATCCTATAAACACGCTACATAGTATACATATAAAAACGCTTATAAGGAAAATATGAACGCACAACATTTCAAACATACTGGTTATATATTGTATATGTATTTTTATGTATTATATAGTAATAAACTTCGAAGATGAGCTTCTATGTAATTAAGCAAGTAATAAAATTCAAGTCTTTAAAATTGACAAAAACGAGAACAGAAGACTTTATTGCCTTAATACTAAGCGGATTATTTTACTATTTAGAAAATTAAATATTAATATTTGGTTTAAATGACAAATTCGACTTATTTGCAACTTTTAATTATTATTATAATCTAGCACGCTATATAGCAGCGAAGTATTTTAAGTGTGCGTGGAAGTGATACACTTGCAACACATGAAAATATACTGGTTCACTACTTTTGAGCTACTGATCTTTCCGGTACCATGACTCGAAAATTCAACAACCGTACCAGCTCAGCACAAAAAAGAATTAATTTTAACTTGGCTGGCATAAACACTGACCAGATCACCGAAATTTTAAAACTACCAGAGCGGCTTGGATGTATTCATTGTCAGCTGCTGTAGTGAACCAGAAATACCACCCAATTCACGCAATTTCAATTTATAAAGAATTACAAATCTCAGATTAAGCTAAAAACTATAAATAAACACCTGGGTGTGCACAGTCGTAAGTAATAGTGTAACTTAAATAAAGAGGTAAAAATGAACGAGCCAAAANCACGCAATTTCAATTTATAAAGAATTACAAATCTCAGATTAAGCTAAAAATTATAAATAAACACCTGGGTGTGCACAACAGTCGTAAGTAATAGTGTAACTTAAATAAAGAGGTAAAAATGAACGAGCCAAAAATCTTTAAAAACCGCTAAGTGTATAGATGATTTTGAACGGTTAGAAGGCACTTTGCCGAGTTGCATTTATTTAAAAAAAAATTAATACCAAACTATTAGGGGAATCTTTGGAAAATACTGGCAGTAGGTGCTTATTTCTTCAATCAAAAAATGAACTCTCTAAAGCCTTTAAAAGTAATTTTTTCAATAACTAAGTCAAAGCTTTGGGGATATCATTTATTTTTAGAAACTATGAATTTTCGAATATGGACGTTGTTTTCTTGTTGTATAGAATGATAATCCAAAAGTATGCGAATTGAATCTATTTAAATAAAACGCATACTCAGCAAAGCACGGGCCTACCTGCAATTGAAACACATTAAAGCATACACACATATGTACTATAAATATTTTTATTTTGAANAGCCTTTAAAAGTAATTTTTTCAATAACTAAGTCAAAGCTTTGGGGATATCATTTATTTTTAGAAACTATGAATTTTCGAATATGGACGTTGTTTTCTTGTTGTATAGAATGATAATCCAAAAGTATGCGAATTGAATCTAATTAAATAAAACGCATACTCAGCAAAGCACGGGCCTACCTGCAATTGAAACACATTAAAGCATACACACATATGTACTATAAATATTTTTTATTTTGAGCCGAGGAAATAATAGATAAAAGCGCGCACTTCTAAATATATAAAAAAGCTACCTTAAGTGTGTATATGTAGTATAATTTGCTTTATATTGATAAGCGCATAATAAATATTGCTGTTATCGAATATAAACAGGAAGTTTTTTTTTTTTTTTTTTTTTAAGCGCATACGACTTTGCCACAATGGAAGCAACGAAATTGTATCGCACGTCAGCAAGTACTTTTTTTTTTGTATTAAATAATCGACAGTCCGGCCACTTATTCGATGAACAAATGAGTTATTTTTCGTGTTCATCTTCAATTGCGAAGTGCTTCGGCACAACGCTTATGCACGCGGGTCCATTACTAGCATTGAAAAGCTAAGTAGAAAGAGCGAATGCGCGCGCTTTCAATGTGCTTAATAATTAAATTAAGTGGATATCATTTAATTCCATGTAAACTCGATTCGCCTTTAAAAATTTTGTTATACCTAACCGCATTCAGTTTTGCCTGAAGGTATGCACACATTGCAAGCTTCAAAGATTTCTTTTTTACTATCAAAATACTTTGCTTTTACGAAATTTTCTTGTATTGTACATGAAAATACGCATATAGTCAAGCGTAAAGGTTTGCTCCTTAGAACACATACGACATTACGCTGCTTCAATATTTTCTTTCCAAACTAGTTTTCAATGTATTACATTTCAGTGAAATCCCTCGGGGCAGAGGTTTACTTCAAATCATTTTGTAGACCATTCTGAGTGCTTCTTAGTATTCNAATTCCATGTAAACTCGATTCGCCTTTAAAAATTTTGTTATACCTAACCGAATTCAGTTTTGCCTGAAGGTATGCACACATTGCAAGTTTCAAAGATTTCTTTTTTACTATCAAAATACTTTGCTTTTACGAAATTTTCTTGTATTGTACATGAAAATACGCATATAGTCAAGCGTAAACGTTTGCTCCTTAGAACGCATACGACATTACGCTGCTTCAATATTTTCTTTCCAAACTAGTTTTCAATGTATTACATTTCAGTGAAATCCCTCGGGCAGGGGTTTACTTCAAATCATTTTGTAGATCATTCTGAGTGCTTCTTAGTATTTTTTTTTATAATTAGTTCACTAGATTGATTAGACACTATCTTAAAATTATTTAAATGCGCTTAAGTGCATAGGTTTTGACTAACTGATTTGATTGATTTGCTAATAGGGGTTCCAATGAATGGTGTGTGTTGTAGGTTTGCGCGCGGGAGATAAGATAATGACAGAAATTCTAATGTATTTAATCACATTACCGATCCTCTTCCACACACACATACACATTCAACCCAAACACCGTGAGGGTATTCATACCAAAATTTGCTACAACACTACATTTATAAAGTCAATTTTCGCTTCACTTGTGCTACTCTCTGACAAGTATTACGTTCGTTCTATAATCTAATCTGATTACCGAATAAAATTGCGTTAGTTGTACGGCTATTAAAAGTTTACTTTGTCATCTTACTTTCTACCGCCTCGCTGCAATCCTGCCTACCACACACCGTGNACTCTCTGACAAGTATTACGTTCGTTCTATAATCTAATCTGATTACCGAATAAAATTGCGTTAGTTGTACGGCTATTAAAAGTTTACTTTGTCATCTTACTTTCTACCGCCTCGCTGCAATCCTGCCAGCCTACCACCAACCGTGTTCACTGCAGTGTTTACTGCTCCATTTTGTAGCTCACCGTCGACACCTTTCGGCGTATTATCGAATGTTGAGCTACNTTCACTGCAGTTTTTACTGCTCCATTTTGTAGCTCACCGTCGACACCTTTCGGCGTATTATCGAATGTTGAGCTACGTATCAGCGTTTGCTTCTTTTGCAGTTGTTGCTGCTGCTGCGTCGTTCGTTGACCCACTGTAGTCTTGGGCGCATTTAGTGCCGGCGACGACTTCGTTTGCTGCGACTTCAGTTTACTCACCACTGCAGCAGAGCCACGTGCTGCGCTGACGCGCGGCCCCTTTTGCTGGTCTTGCCGTATGCTTTTTGCGTCATTTACGCGCTTCCAAATGTTGGCGATGCGACTTTGCGCTTGATTGATTTTTGCCACTGCATTTTTTGTAGCATGCGCTGCAGCCGTTGTGGCGGTATCACGGCTGTTGAGATTTGAATTGCTGNCCTTCTGCTGGTCTTGCCGTATGCTTTTTGCGTCATTTACGCGCTTCCAAATGTTGGCGATACGACTTTGCGCTTGATTGATTTTTGCCACTGCATTTTTTGTAGCATGCGCTGCAGCTGTGGTGGCGGTATCACGGCTGTTGAGATTTGAATTGCTCCGCGTAGGAGGCGTCGTAGTCGATACGCGTGTAATGCGCGCTGCGCTGCTGGTCACACGTATGGCCGCATTGCTGTTGGAGCGCTGGGGCATGGCGGCGCTTGTAACTGCACTAGCTGTTGCGATTACTTTACGGTGTTTTGGTGAGCCTGATTTCGCAGCAATCGGTATTTTACGGCTGGTGGCTGCCGGGGTTGATTTTGAAGTAGTCACGGGGGCGGTACACTTTGTTGGCAGCTTTGAACTGCGTTGCGGGCTGCCGCCAGTTGTAGTTGTAGTGGTTGCAGTTGACGGTAATGTCGCTTTCACATCTGACACAACAACTGGAACTTGGCA